TGAAAATTATGTGCTCGATTTCGAAACAAGTTAAAAGTTTAATGACTTAAATAGGAATATTTCAGTGTTAGATTAGATGGTAATTATGGAAAGTTTGAATGGGTATAATGGTAATTTGATAAGAAAGATTTTTATTTTCCTTTTATATAGGATGATAAACGTAGGAAATGAGGAAAAAGGAAAGAAGAGTCTGGAGAGTGGGTTCTCTTCTTCTCCATCGTGGCCATGAGCTCCAAACAAAGGCGAGTTTTTCAGATAGTTAATTTCTTGTTGAATTTTTGAGTTGGTTATGATCATTAGAGTATACTTAAGCTTAAAGAAAGCTTAAGTCAAATTTAAATCAAAAGACGACAGAGTTAAGAGAGATTAAGTAAAAGTAGTTTTTAAGTGAATTATTGAAATAAAAGGAGTTAATAGATTTTGAGGTTGAATTTGACTTGTCAAGGGTTTAATTAAGAAGTTAGAAGCAATAGAATTGAATTTGGAACATGTTGAAAAACGAGTGTAATTCTTGAATTACATATGGATGATAGGATTTTGAGGTTAAAGATGTGATAAAGGAGTATAAGTAAGTTTAAGCATGTGTATGAAAGTTAAGAATATAAAAGGGAATGATATATGAAGCGTTTGAGATGAAATGAAGAAATTTTCATGCTGAAAATGTGATTTCTGGGCTAGGGGTATCGGTACCCATTCAACAGGTACTGATACCCTCTCAAACGAAAAAAAATCCAAAATGCAGTGAGGGTACCGATACCCTAAGGAGGGTATCGATACCCACTAAAGGAAAAAGTGAATATTGGTTTATTAAGTTCATTTAAGTTGTTAGTATCGAATTAGAAGGTGTAGACATCTAATAATTGCCTTAAAATGTGTAATTATGTAGATACAGAGCCTAAACGGGTTCCGGAACCATTGACAAGTAAGATCGATCAAGGGAAAAGATAAGAGATCGATATTGACTAGTGAGGCCAGGTGAGTGCATGCTAGTTATTACATGATGTTTCATGGAAATAAGACTTGCGATAAGTCTATTTCCTATAATAGGATGTATGAACTCGTAATAGGAGCATATGTTTGACATGATGTATGTATGTTAATGGTTATTGCATATGTTATATGATATACATGAGTACAAGTTATTATAATAGTGAATGAGTATAAATGGTTTCATAAGAAAGTGAAATAAACTATGAGAATATATGAAAGTGTGATATGAGTTATATGTTATTGTATGCATGATATGTTTTGTATGAATATATATACACTAGTGTGATAGGGTATAGGATGTGTGTGTGTGTGTATGTGTGTGTGTTTACATAATTCATATGATATTGACATAATAAATGGAATGTTATGTTATGTATAGGAGAACATATATGAACAAGATATGTCATGATTGGTTACATAAACATAGGTGGAATAATATAAATTGTGAGACATGATATACATGATTACATGTATATGTGATGTATGTTATATGATATAAGAAAGATGTTTACACATACATGGGGTATGTGATAGAAGAGAAGGAACGTGTGATTATAAGAGAATGCCCATGTTATATAGTACGAGAGCTATAGGTATAGTTGGTATGCCAAGAGTCGAGGGTTACCTATGTCTTTCGAGACATATGGACATGATTACCTATGTCTTTCGGAACATATGGATAGTTTACCTATGTTCTAAGAAACATATGGATAGTTTACCTAGGTTCTTCGGGACCTATGGACAGTTGTTGAGGTTCTTTATGACCTCTGGATAGGTCATTCGAGACATTTATACGAGCTGTGGTGACAACATATGTGTGTACAACCTCATAGTACTCATATACCTTAAGTTCTCACATGTGTACATGGGCTAATAAAAAGATTAAACAGATATATTGAATGTGATATGTATATGTATTTGTGATTTGTTATATGGAATAAATTACAGGATTCATGTATTGGAGTATTGCTTGGTTAGTGCATGATATATTGATAATGGTATATGTATATGTGTGTATTGGTTATGTGAAAGGTTATATGTTTTTAGTTATATGAACTGTATTACATGAATGATATGATGTTAAGTGTATTTCTTTATGAAATGATATATGATGGGTATAAATGATAAGTATATGATTATACGATAAAGGTATTAATGATAATAATAGGATAATGATAAGAAAGAAGATAATCATATATGTACATGTGTGGATTTGATATATGAATAGAAATATGTTGGTGTATGATATGATAGTAGTAATTGTTCATGCATGATTATAGGTTAGATTTTTTTTTCTATTATATGTTTATATGCCTCACTAAGTCATAGACTTAGCGTGTGATTGTTTCACACGTAGGTTACAGAACGAGAAGAGAAGCTATGAGGAGCAAGACAGGTCAGATTCTCCTTTCCAATGATCATATCAGAAATGTAGTTAAATAAATGTATTTTATTTTATGAAATGTAGTTGGCATTTAAGATAAAAGATTGGTGTCAGATACGCTCTGATAAGTTTTGTAAAACCATATGTTTTATACAATAGAAATTATTTGGTTTATTGAAAATGTTGAACTGAATTTTTATTATATTTTGTCAAAGTAAATGTTTTGAAAAGTCAATGTGACACATCGGACTCGTATCCAGGTCGAACACGGGTAGGAGGTGTTACAACAGTCATGCCAAAACGACGTCGTTTTGGTGAGGGAGCAACGTCAACAAGGTCACGTCTCGGAGATGTCATGTTATCATGTCGTTAAGTCATTAACGATATAGTGACATAATTGCAGTTAAACTTAAACGTTAGTGTTAAAATTGACAAAATTAAAACGTTGGTGGCATAAACGAGCCCGAACCTAAAGGTGGGTGGTACTTGAAGTAGTTTACCCTAAATTTATTGATAGACGTCATATTTTTCTTTTTTTCTTACCCACTTACAAAATTTTATCACGATATCAAGAGCACAAAATGTATCAACCTTCTCATCTTTCCTTTCTTCTCTTGATTAGAGACTAAATTCTTCTGTCCATCATTTTCAATAACTCTTCACCTAAACTAGAATAAGAATAGATGAACTGTTAACTAAAATTTACAATCATCATCAACCCAATTATATATCAAAATCTCTATTTATGTATTTTTAATTATGTAAACGCTCGACAAGTTCATGATGCCGTTTTATGGAGCTTTCAACTTAAAACCTTACAAATTTACTATCATATTTGAGCTATAATGAATAAGATGTTAATGTGATAATTAAGAAAAGATATATCATATTTATACTTTAATTTTTAACTTTAACATAGCATACGTGCAGCTTTAAAAAAGGTTATGGAATTGCCATGCTCCCCTTGAAGGGGCAGCCATTGTTTAATGCATTTTCTTTTACCCTTTTTATTATATAATTTAATTGTTTGTCAAATTTTACAGGGGCTACCATGTGGACAATGCTGAGCTATAGCATGCTCTTGTAATAATTAGATTAACCAATACCCACGTGTTGAACAAAGTGTAGTCCTTACCCTAAATATTTAGAGTAAACTACGTATTTAATATATAAACTATCAGTTTTTGTCCGTTGTAGTACCTAAACTTTCATTTTTTTTAAACCATACTAAATGTTTAGTTTTTTTTTTCAGTTTAGTACATCGCCATTAAAAACTTAACAGAGGGGCTCGTCGACAGCCACGTCTACAGTCGTCGACTGTCGCATTCGTCGACCGATGAAGCCTAAACTTTCCAGTTCGCACCTTTACGACTCCATGAATGCGATTTTGACCTCCGTTTGACCAGAAAATGCCTTAATCTCCCCAAATTAACATTGGACCCTTCGATTTCTTCATCCTGAAATTAGACTATATTAGTCCACTTGTTATTCTCTTGTGGTCTCATGTTTAGATTAGTCGTCCGTCCATCAAAGCTATGCCATGTCAACTCGTCTATTAAGTCTTTAACAAATGGGTACTAAAATGAAACAAAAACTAAACGTTAGATATGATTTAAAAAAAACAAATTTTAGATACTAAATAGACCAAAATCGACGTTTAGGTACTAAACCTATAATTTACCCAAAAATGTATTTGTTTTCTTATCGCAAATTTTCTTAAATCACGATAATGATTCAAAGCATTTATTGTAGTTCATGTAATCTGTGCATATTGATCGTAGTTTTCTAGATAGGATAGCTAAACTTTATTCTCTTTTATATTTCACTCATTATATTTTGAATCTTTTTAATTTTTTTACTAAACTTAATACATTTAGTTTTTTTGTCACTCAGCCATTAAATAGTTAAAACGTTAAGATGGGTTGTTATATCTATGTAAAGCGACGTCGTTTTGGAGAAAATTTTATTTTACTTAAATGACATCATTTTTAGCTTTGTTAACTATTTAACTACGGAGTGACCAAAATACAAGAGGGAGTAAAGTTTAGTGACAAAAAATCCAATGTATTAAGTTTAATGAGGAAATTGAAAACTTTTAAAGTTCAATGATGAAATTTGTAATTTACACGAAATAATATGGTAGAGTGGCCAAAAAAATTAATCTTCAAAGCTCAATGAGTAAATTAAAAACTTTTAAAGTTGAATGAGTAAAATAAGAGAGAGAAGAAAGTTAAGTCATGGTTTATGTAATTAACTCTTTTATCTTTGTACAACTCAGCCTCTCATTAAAAGCTCCTTTTCAACTGTCACTAGAATTTCTTCTGGAAGGAGAAGAAAAAACAAGAAGTAAGAAAATTGTTTCCATTTTTATGATGTTGAATGTTCATCCATCTTTCTAAAAGGATTTTCCCTCTCATCCTCTCCTCAATTCAAATATCGTTTCCTTCTTCCTTTGGTTTCCCCTCGGAAAAAGAGAAAAATCCATTTGAGTGTCTTTCATTTTCATCTTTTTCCCTATAAAGTTTCAAATCCCGAGATCTCTGCAACCCAATTCTTCTTTCACTTGATTAATCCAAATTCTCATCTCGGTGTCTTTAGTTTCATCTTTTTCCTTGTAAAGTTCCAATCTTTCCGTTGTTATAAATCATTAGATTATATGCACTACTTGTTATTCTAAATGTAGAAGAGAGTTTCAAATTTTCTCCTTCCCATCAACATTTTCTGTTCATCCAATCAAAATCCAGAATTTCCCCTGTTTTTGTCTGTTTTGATGTTATGGGTTGTGCAAGTTCCAGGCAGAAACGATGCTGGCACTGTCGGGCACCATGTTCACCTGTCCCAAGAAGTTACACGATGCACGTTCATCATCCTTCACAACACAAAGGCGATAGCTACCATGTCGTGGCATTAACATCCACCACATTAGGCAATCTCAAGGTAGAATCAAACCACCAAAGCAATGGGAATTTGCAGGAAACCAAGGAGAAAAGCAAACTTGAAGCTGAAGTCTGGTCCAAATTGATTGAGGATAAGCTCCCAAAAATTGTCCCCAAAACTCCCGTAAGAACTCCCCCCGGTGAGCCTGAAACAATCAACACTTGGGAATTAATGGCCGGCCTTGAAGATTCTAGCCCTCGTCCTCCAACTCATTTCAAGAGCTATTCCGCTAATGAAAATGACATTTTGTATTCAAAGCCTTTGTGGGCTCAATCTGAAGAAGATGAAGGATCAGATTCAGTGATGACAGATTTTGATCCAGAAATCATTTCTAGCTTTAGGAAAACACTTGAACAGCTTCCTTCTAGTAACCCTTTTCATCTCAATCCTTGTACCATCGAAAAGGTTCATTGCAAGCTTAACAAGGATAAGGTCATTTTGTATTTTACAAGTTTAAGAGGTGTTAGGAAGACATACGAGGATTGCTGTAATGTTAGATTGATCCTCAAAGGCTTAGGAGTTCGTATGGACGAACGAGATGTGTCGATACATTCGAGGTTTAAAGATGAATTGAGAGAGGTTTTGGGAGAAGGGTTTAAAGGCGGATTGCCAAGGGTGTTTGTAGGGAAGAAATACATTGGAGGAGCCGAAGAAATAAAGCAAATGCATGAAGAAGGTTCCCTAGGGGAGGCCATTGAAGGGTGTGAAATGTTGGAAGATGATGATGTTGGTGCTTGTGAGGCTTGTGGCGATATCAGATTCGTGCCGTGCGAGACTTGTTCCGGCAGTTGCAAAGTCTATTATGATGAAGATGAGGGTGAAGTAACAGGAAACGAAGGTGATGAGAGTGAGTATGGATTCCAACGATGCCCCGATTGCAACGAAAACGGACTTATCCGCTGTCCGGTTTGCTGCGATTGATCCCGGTCACGAATACGAATACGATACATTACAATGAATATCAAATTCATAAAATGTAGGGAATTTTTTTTCCTACGTGTTTTTTTCTTTCTTTCATTTGGTTTGTGAGATGTGTTTTAATTTGTACAGTGAGTGAGAGTGAGGAGTTTGAATTGGTATAATTTTGAGTCAAGGAAGAAGATAAATGTATTTGTAATAAGCAGGGTTTGTTCATCATAATTACAAATCATGTGCTTCAATGGATGATGGCCTTTAAAAGAAACTTGTGTGATGATATATTGAGCCTTTGAATTCCAAAGCTAAGCTTAATGAGGGGGTTGAGGATCATGCTCAAAAGAGTTGGATATTAGCTCACTGCCATTAATGAAAACATAAATAATACAATTAAGCTCTTGTTTCGCATTCATTGGGGCTTTAACAATAAAAGAAAATTAGATATTATAGCTTTCTAACAAGGCTCGTTTTTATGTTTAGTTGCTTAATAACCCTTGTTTTTTAAGTTCATCCGACACGTTTGTGATTTAAATCCCAACATTTATAATCTTATATCTTTTGAAATATAATTATAATTAGACTTAATACCAAAAAATACATAAACTATTCCCTTTCTCAATTTGGGTGTATAAACTTTTTTTTTCAATCTAAACCCTAACGTTAAAACGTTGTCATTTTAAGTGCCTCGACCGTAACTGTCGTTAAAAAATTTCGTTAAGCGACACGTGTAATGTTTGTATATTTTTAGAATTTTTATTTTAAAAAACTTAAAATTTTCAGAAAAGTCCACATATATCTTTTAAATTATAATCAAGACCCTAAAACTCTAAAATCTTTAATTTTAATCCTCATACTGAATCGTCGCCGGTCATCTCCGGCCACCACCTCTATCGCCATCCACCCACTGACCAACCATCAACTTTTCCGTCATCCCAAAACCCCTAAATTCATAAACTATTAAATCCTTAACCCTAACCCTACATTTATAAGGTGGAGAAGGAGCTGAGAAATTTTCCTAGGGAGGGAAGGACAAAGGAACGCCAGGGGACTAGGAAGGAAGGGGGAGGCACGGGTGGGAATAATTTTTTTATTTTAAATAAAAAATTTAAAAATATAAACGTGACAAATGTTTTCTAACGAATTTTTTTAACGGCCTTTACGGTTGGAGAACTTAAAATGATAACATTAGACACATAGACTAACCGAAAAATAGTTTAGACACCTAAATAAAAAAATAGTATAGTTTGAACATTTATTTTTATCTTAAGTCTTATAATTAAGATAAACTACTAAATTTTAATTTTTGCATTGGTTTATCACTAAATTTTAAATTAATATAATTATAGAACTTTAATTTATGTTTGAATTATATTACTAGATCATTAACTCGGAAAAAGCACAATGTCAGGGAAGATAGTTTTTATCATTATATCGACTTAATGATTGAAACAAACGATATTATTTTGGTTCAGCTATTTCATTTCTTGTTAACTTTAGTATGTTTATTGATTTTGCCAATGAATTTTGAAACTTTCAAATTTAGGCACTTTACTTTTTGATCGTCACTGACAGTTAACCAATTACTATTAACAACAAGATCGATATTTAAACGTCCACAATACTCCCTTTCCTTCTCATAGGATTAATTTTTCATAAAATTCACTTAAAGTCGATAAAAATCTATTTAAAGATTCGTGTGCTAATATTTTAACCTCCTCTGATGGTCGTTCAGTAGGACTAAGTCTCCGAACCCAAAAAATGATAAATTTTGTGTATTTAATTTTGCGAGTTTAAAAAAATTGAGAAAATCTAAAGTCAGAAAATGACGGTTTATGATGACAAAGATGATGAGCTGAATTAAAAAAAATTAATTTTTTAATTTTTAATTTTCATGTGAATACTATGCCAGAACAAAACTATTATATCTCTAATTGTTAATGTATTAATGATCTAATGATATAATTGGAGCAGATAATGTTTTTTCCTTTTAAGTGCTGCATTTGGTTTACTGAATTAAGAAACTTAAGGCCAAAACTTGATAATAATAATAAATAAAAAACTAAACACTAGCCATCCACAGGTGATTAATTGCATACAACAAAGCAAAGGTAGTTTTGAGCATCATTCTCTTCAGCTGGGGATACCTTCTATTTTAGCATGCATTTCAATCAAATTGGTTTGAATTTGGATTCTTTCAACCATATCTAAAAAAAAAGGCCAACTGGACATGGACATTTACAGCCATCTAACTCAACTTTCAAGTTATTACCGTTGTACACAAGCGTATACTAGACTGGTACGTAACAAATACGAGTATCGATTATTTTTTACACAAAACAAAGGATGGGAAAGTACCAGTAAAACGGGTGTTATACGACACTTAGCTTGGTGTTTGTTTATTTCCATGGCTACCCAGATCAGCGGCCGCCTGAGCTGCGCGGTTCAACATGCCGGAAACCCAGAGTGCTCCCTTGGCAAAATAGCTGCTATTGACTACAGCATCGCTGGCTGCTACAGCTGTTCTCCCGGTAAAACTTGCAGCTGTTAGCACTGCAGTCCCGGTAACTGATGCAACAGATTTTGTGATGTCCGAAACATGATACTTCTCATCCACTGATTTTACAGTTTCCATGCTAGTGTTGATCTTATCAGTGAGGCCAATTCTATTGCTAAGCTCAGCAACTTTGGCGGCTGCGGTAGCAGAGACTCGATATGACTCGTCCAAGTCTTTAGCCTTGACAAGGGCATCTTTGCCCAAAACATACCCCTTGGCTAGCATTGTTTTCACAACAGTCACCGCTTCTCCGGGAGAAGAGACAAATGGATGCATATGGGTAACCTGCAAAGATAATCGGCAACTCAAACTACAAATATCAATACCGTGTTCTTTTTTTATACAAAATCATCGAATTAAAGCAAAAATATTTCCATGCCCCATGTTGCTCATCATCCTGACCAGAAAATCTAAGCCCAATTGTGCCAAACAACAAACAAGACTACAGCAGAGACCTCAATGATCCTAATTCCCGATTTCTTCGGCATGCCAAACATGCAGTATTCGTCCTGAATAATACAACCATTGTGACTCTAGGAGCAGATTAAGATAGTAGACTTGGTATTGAAATGATCTTATGGAAATTACTATTTATTCCCGTCTTCAACATTTATATTAGCTAGTATCATGTATCCCTCATTCTTCAAATTTAGTGCCTGATAAATTAATGTCTGAAAAATAAAGATATACCATGGAAGATCTAAAGGCAACAAAGAAAGATGTCAAAATCACACACTCAAGTTGGAATCCCTTACCGAGTCCTATCAGTGACAAGTGCTTATGGGGGTAGTAACCCCAAACAATCAACCTGGTCTTCTTATTAAAGAAATCGAAACATACCGTTGAGCTAGTATCCTCTTGAGCTTTCCATGAAGAACCATCCCAAGGATATGAATCATCATCATAGGAACCCCACCTTGATATCCATACAGACTGATCAACAATTGTAGCTCCCTGACACAAAATTTGGCAGTAATGAGATAAATAATAGCTATGAAAAATCAGGAAGGCAGGATGCAAGATGTTCCTTCCGTCACTAAAGATCGAGATTAAGAGTCTATCTTAGGTTATGGTCCATCTCAAAGAATGAGCCAACCTCATTTCTTTATAGTCTCCATACTGGTACTCACAAACTCTTCAAGAAATCAATTCAGCCACTTGAAAAAAAAAGGTCATCCATATTGCACAAAACTAGACGGACAAGAGCAAGTTTTTTCCAATAAGAAAGGTGTTTAGTGTTACTTGGGAAATTTTCTACTACAAGTTTCTCCAGTGTATCTTACCGGTCATACAATTTCAAAGAGAAGCCTTTCAAGAATTACAAAGTTTAAATTGACCAACTTTCCCTTGTTTTTTTGGATTGAGTGGTGCCATTTTAGGTTACATAAGCTGATACTCATACCATACTAATACATCTTGATGCAAACATGACGTTATGGTGGCATTCAAAATCAAAACAAAGATTCTGAGGAAAGAAAAGAGTCAGAACCTTCCAGGTAGCTGAAAGAACACAATTCTTTTTTCTTTTAGAAAAGGAATGTAACTTATTTCCCTCGTTGGAAGTACGAGTCGAGCTTACACTGAGTAAGACTGCAGTTTCCAGTGAATAGGGATCTTTAAATGTCACATAAGCCGTACAAGCATATTCCCCACATCTGTTTAAGAAAGCAGCTCCCATCATTACAGCACAAATTTCTTAGTAACAAAATCAACGAAATTCTGCACATCAGGTTTAAAAGAAAGATCAGGAATAAGCTAATCTTCGTTGGCTAATCACATCACTATACTAAGGCGTACCTATGAAATAAGGTTACATAAGCTAATCTACATGCTAACAGCTATGGCCTGATTTGATTCCCTACCATAGAGATAAACATCTCGACTATTGTAAACAGTCATTAGCTCAAGAAATATGGAATTATATTCATGTATCTTAGCAGATTATCAATGATCCAACAAGAGATCATTTCAGACAAAAGACTTGGAAGCTTTTCACCTTTTTCTACCCCCCAAATAACCAGTAAATTTGTAATCACTCTTTAGCTTAAGAAATATGTCGAACTTGGAGATAATTGTACTGAATATCGACTCAGATTAATATAATTGTCTAGATTCTGTTAATCAGATCGGAAATACCAAGTATCAAACAAGAAAGCATTTCAGACAAAAGAAGTATCACTTTTGACTTTTTCATAAAAGAGTTGACAAACAATAAGTACAATTAAACAACTTGATCATAAAACATTCCTTGATTCAAGAAACCTGTCACAACTTGTCGCTAAGTTACATTTGTACAAATTATGGGAATCGTCACATGAAGAAATTCTACTTAAAGACACTGTTTTTTCCACACAAACCAATAATGAGATTACAAATTATCCAACAAGAAATCATTTCAGACAAAACACTTTGTAGCTTTTGCCTCTTTCTTTTTTCTCTCGAATAACCAGTGAACAATAAGTCCCAACAAATTTGCAAATGCACAATAAATATGCACAAAATCATGAAAATACACCATTATGGAGAGTGATTTCTGACGTTTATTCGGGTAATCAGAAATAGAGTAGCAAAACATTACCTGATAATTTCGACATGTTCAATTACACCACAGTATGCGAAAAAGTCACGGAGATCCTTCTCGGTAACTTTTGGAGATAAGCTTGTAATTTCAGCAGTGTAACCTCCATGGTACATTGTCTTCAACTGAGATAGAGCAAGCAAAAAACGAACCTATTTCAAAGGTATTTAAATAAAGTTTTAGAAGCATACATAGAAGGTAGCTTGATATTGCAGGAATCATCATTGTTCATTCAAAACTTTTATAACGCCGAAACCATTGCAGTTCCGAGGAAAAGGGAACTTATTTTAGAGAGATGGCTAAGGGAAATTTCAGAAAGAGATAATATAGGCAATATCATTTTGGGGCAGTGATTCTTATGTATGGTCCTGAGCAAAATAGTCCACAGTGGTCCCAACTCTGTAGCTCTCATCTATTGTGGCATATGTACAAAACGAAACCCAAAAATTCATGGAATCTTCTAAATTCAAATGAAAGATACTAGCAATGTTGCCGATTTTCTAGCATTGATTAGCCTTAATTCAACATTAACACATTAAACTTCTCATTGTTAAAATGCCAAAGCTATTTTACCAAGTGGAATAAAAAAATCTGTAACCTCAAGCAAGGTGCCTTAATCTACTCCGAGATCTGCTTAAATGCAGAACAACAAATATTAGTTTAAAGTCAAAAGTAATAAAAGGGATGAGCTATGGGGACAGCCATAGCCCATATAATCCTCCAAAATGAAAACTATACATTGGCTTTCAAAATAAGCAAGTCAAATATTGTAAGCTTGAAGCAAGATTATCAATTTTTTTTGGCTAAAGTGCAAAAGAGGGTTCAACTTACATTATAGAATACCTATATATATATATATAAAAGAAATTATCATAGCTTATATCAACAATGGGGGGTCATTAATGAGTAAGAGAAGCAAACTTTGTCCTCCAAATATCAATTAAAGGCCCTCAATTTCCAACTATGAAGAAACCTGAAACTAATGATTATGTATTGAATTTATTGAAAACCCAGACAGTAAAAGAGGAACACTAACTTGTTAAAATTGATAAAATAAGCTGAAAAGGAGAACTAGGTATCACTGAATTTGCATGGAAAAAGAAGGAAACTGAAACAAAAATTGAAGCTTTATAAAAGTTATGATATTTTTTACATACCTGTTGTTGATGATGATGATCAGATTGTTAAAAAAGCTTAAGCAAGATAAAGGGAAAGAGGGATGATAGTCAGAAAACTAACCAACATAAACACTACCCGCTGGTCTTCTTTCCACATGGCTACAAACCCCACTCTCATTAATCGAGCGTGCGTTTCAATAAAGATATTTTTTTAAATGTTAAAATAAGCGTTTAAATTATATGTAAAATTAACTTTTGGTATCTAAAGAATTTTTTTTTTTTTTGTTAAAGATATGTGTTAAAACGTTTTTTTCATTATATTTTTAGGTGTCCAATATTTCTGACGTTATATTTTTGTGTTTAGACTATAACCACCATTAAAAAATATATTGTTATATGACATGTGTCAAACTTTTAAAATTTTAAAATTTTTATTTTAAAATAAGAAATTATAATTTATTTTAAAAAATTCAGTTTTTTTAGAATTATAAAAAATCTAAAAAACTTTTAAATTCTTAATTTCAAATTCATTTGCAGCCGTCGTTGGTCATTTTCGACCATTATTTATGTTGTCAAAAGATTACCTACATGTTATCGCTCACCCATTGATCGATCATTGCTTTTGCCTTTTCCTTAAACCCCTAAATTCATAATCCTAAATTTAATGAGAAAACGATTTAACTTAAAATTTAATCATAATAATCTCAAATATCTAGAGGTAGGGGAACGATCAAGGTAGGGAGGGAATTTGATGGGAGAAGGAATTGGGAGGGAGTCTTGGGGTTGGATGGGGACAAAGGGGAGGGTTTTTTGTTTTAATGATGATTGTTGGGGTGTATTTGTACCTAGGCCTTCTGTTGATCGCAGGAATGTACACCTTACTAACCTTATTATAATGATTAAATAACTCTCATAAAGCAGTCCTTGACACTCATTTACTCGGATTATCCACAAACGTCGTCCAATTATCCTCTAGAGAAGACAGAGTGTTACCTCTTTTCGGCGATCCCATCTCTTCTATATATTTAACAGAAGAAAAAAATTATCTACTCCCACTTGTTTGTGTCCTGAAAGTTTGTTTGGATGCTATGGACCAGGTTTATCATTTTTTTGGAAGTTTTCGACTGTATTTCCAGGTGATATCTCCTCCATCTTAGTTAAGGGTGTTCACGGTCAGTTTGTATAGGTTTTTGGCTAAAAATTCATCCGATCTGAAAGTATAAATGTTTGTGCTTTGAATCGGTTTGGATGTTTCTAAAAAAAGTCCGATCCGATCTGATCCGATCCAATTAAGTACGGCTTGATTCGATTTGAATTTATGCAATTTTTAGATTCTAATTTTTTAAAATAATTCTTGAATTTTTTCATAAAAAACCCTAATCATAAAAGAAATATATTGAATATTTGCAAAAAAAAAAAAAAACCAGAAAGCTAAGATTTTTTCCAACAGAAAAATAACCCATTTTTTCCCTACAAAAAAAGGACAAATTTTTACAGAACATAAGTATAATAAATTAACATAATTTTGGCAAAGTCCAACAATCAGGCAAAGGCAAGAAGAAATTAAGAGTAGATCATAGTACCTGAGGGAGTTTTTGTTGGATTATGTTTTGGTTGAACTTGAAACGGTGTCGTTCTGCGCAAGGAAATAACCATTCATTGTAAGAGACTATCGGTTCGGTTCGGTTTGGATCGGTTCCAGATTTCCAAACCAAAACGAACCGAAACGATAGGCTTTTTAAAAAAAATCAAACACACTAAATTGGTTTCGGCTTTTTTTCGGTTATCGGTTTTTTAGATTAGTTTTCGGTTATTTTTTTAGATCGAATTGAATCTGAACACCCTTAATCTTAGTTGTTTGGCACGACTCATTCCCTATCTCCTCATCGAATTCGATTTGGCACTTCATTCCTTATGTTGTTATCTGGTCACTTTGGAAATTTAGAAATGATATTGTGTTTTGTGGTCTTATCCCCCTCTGGTTTCTTGAAATCAGCGTCAATAGTGCAATGAAGGGCGATGGTAGTGTTGGGAGAATTGATGGTATTCTTCGTGATTTAGACATTAAAATCGTGTTGTCATTCTTTGAGTTGATTGCATTCTAATCGAGCTAGAAGCAATTTTATTCGGTCTAAACATATTCTTCTATTCGATTTTTAATAAGAGTTTTACGCTTATTTTAGAAAGAAAGCAGTGGATTGGATCTCCGCTATAGGTGAATGCCCCACTTCATTTTTTGCTATTGTGAAAGACATTATGACGGTGATTATAGAAAGAACAGTTATCTTGCGTTTTGTTGGTCGGAGTTGCAATACTTTAGTAGATGGTTTTGCAAAACAAGGGATTGGTTAATGCATGAAGCTTGTTTCTTCTCATTATTGTCTTTGGTGTAATATGATGTATTTTCTGTTTTGTTATGTTGTAATAGGACTATTACTTTATTTGTAATATATTAGGTACTCTTTTTCTTCTTCTGTTATTTATTGATATACTCTTTCTTATATCGATAGGTATGAAAGAGATTTTTTAATGAGAACTCCAATTTCTATTAAAAAAATCAAAAAGATAAATAATTACGCGTGTCATTTAAAGATCAAATTTAATGACGTTACAGTCTAAGAATCTAAAAATGTACGCAAATATTTTTAACGTAAAATTTTGTAGGCATTAAAAATTAACTTTGAGTAATATTTGGCACCTATTTTTATATCAAGACTTATTTCCTAAATGGTGCGTGAAGTCATTTCCTTTCAAGGAGCGTTAATGGCATCTCAATATTTGGTTGAATTAAAATGACCATTTTATCTCCGTCGGCGGATTTCTGCCACTCCATTGGTGGGGAATCTAGTTTGGGTCCGTAACTTACACCACTTAAACGGCACCGTTTAATTACGCCTCAAATCCCACATTCCTCTCTATTTCCCTTTCTTTACCCTAAACTTTTTTGTAATAAATAATTAAATACTCAAAAGGTTACTCCCAAATATAAAATTAACAATTTAGTCCTTTTACTACTCAAGAGATTATGACATTTAGCACTAATTTTATTCGAAAATCAAAACATCAATCACAAGTAGTCGTTCATGAAAATATAACTATTTTAAAGTTTGAAAATAAAAATATTTTAAATACATATAAATTTACTTATATAGTAAAATTAGTTCTTAAACCATACTTTTTTCTCATTTAGATACCTAAATATTTTTTTGTTAGAAGTTACAGTCTCCAATAAATGTCCCATATGCCATGTTCTTCTTGGTTGACTTATTTTGGGTAAGAAAATTTATATTTTAGGACCTTAGGTACCATTTACAAAACAAATGTTTAGATACCTAAATTGAAAAAATAGTATAGTTAAGGGATCAACTTTACTATTAAATCTATGTATACGGTGATGTAACTACATTATAGGTTGGGGAGCCCCAATTTTTTGGTTTTAATCACTTGTTAGTCCCTATAGTTCTAAAACCAGGCAAACTAAACCTCAACCTCTATTTTTTTTATTTAAATACATCTTAGGTCTAGACGTGTATATGGTCCTGTTTTTACAAATTTTTTTAATAATCGATCGATTTTTAGTTTGGTTTACTTTAATTATCAAAATTTTCATATTAACTTTAGGTTTTGAATTTTGGTATATTATTTTGATAAAATAATTTTATTTTATAAATTTTAAATATTATTTGATAATCTTTTTAAGTATTTTTCATAAATATTTTTTAAAATTTAATTTTATGGTCTTAGGTTTAAAATTTTAGAATTTTAAATATATGATTTACATATTAGAGTTTAAGATTTAAAGTTTCAAATTTTAATACTAAAATGAATAAAATTATGTAAATTAAATATATGTATGTATGAATTGGTTGAAGTTAAATCCTTGTAGCTAGATTCTTAAATCTAATAGATATAATTTAATTTCTAAATGGGATTGGCTAGTAGTAGTTAACTAATCATCTATGTTCAACCCATGTTTTTTAATTCAAACTTTAAAATAATATTTTTTAATATAAATCATATATTATATAAGATAATTAATGTTTGTCATGCTCAATTACCAACATTTTTCAATAAAATATACTGAAAAGCAAGTCTGTTACACCTAAAATAAATGTTTCTAACTACCATGATTAGACAAAATGAAACAATCTTAAAATACTATTTTGTATTTTTTTTATATTTTTATTTATTTAAGAATATGTAAAGATGCCTTCATTTTGTTTGTGAATTTTTTGATTGGCAATTTATAGGATAATTACTTTATAGATTGGAGGTGGAAAAATATTTTACAAATGGGTTGTATTGATTTTACTTGTTTTATATATTTAAGGTTTAGAGTTATATTTATTGATCATCAACAATTAGTTGGTGTAATGACATGAGACACTTAATCTCTAATGAGCTTATGTAGGATCTGATCTGGTTTAGTTAATCAATATATTAGAAACTAATGATTATGAAAAAAATATTTACAGATAAAAAATTATGATCATTTAAATATGTCCACATTTAAATAAATGTGTTTGTGGAGTCTAAATTTTATATACTAGTTTGAAATAGACTATGCCTATATATTTAATGCATGGCCTAGAAAATTAAAGACTTTCATTGACATGCATGTCCCAGTTTCATTGATGTGTAATAGTATATATATATATATATATAACAAACTGGAACTTTCGCATGAGTTTCTTTATGCTAAGGTCAGCATGATTCATCCAGCAATTATTCATAGATATTACACTTGATTAAGACATGGCTATTATTTCTTATAGTTGCTTTTGTTGATGTTGGTCTTAAATTTCATTCAGATTCATATAAATTCACCATTTTGATATAATTATATATATATATATATATATATATATATATATATATATATATTATAGTTTAATTTATTGGAAAATCGAGTATCGTCGATTATACCGGTTAATATATATGTCCTTTCGGTTCAAATCATGTTTACTAAAAGATGAACAGACTTTTGGGACTGTAGTACACCATGCTCCTACTGACAAGATTTATATTGTCGAGATCAAATTTTAAATCGATTCATATAATTATTTAAAAAATAATAATCGATGATACAATAAAATAAACTAGAAAATAAAAAATTTATGACATGTAGGGCATTGTTGGGGAAAAAGAAAACTTAATTAGCATTCCATCAAATCACTCACTGATGATTATTTTGGAACAAATTAGAACACACCTGATTCCAACTTACGACAAACACAAAATATATTCTTCTAATTTGCATCATATTAATTCCACGTGAATTAGTATATAATTAATCATATTCTCAAAACAAAAAGAGTACGTAAAGATAATAATTAATTAAGTTTGTCTCATGCGAAGAAGAAAGTAATAGTAATTTGCCATTAAAATTAAAGGGCTTTGCTAGTGCAAGTCCTTTTATTATACAAATTAGATTACAAACCCTGGCCACATGGAGGAAGCATCCTCAACTATATATATATATATATGTATATATATTCTGATTTTAATTTGTTCGATCTAATGACCAAAACCTAATAATAAGATTGGTTTATATGTTACATAATTAAACTCCTGATTATTGCAGCCTCGGCACTGTCTGCGTCAATGGTGGCCAACAACTGCGAGAGCCGCTCACTTAGGTCGTCCACCTCCCTATGCAAGCTTCTGATGTAATTGCAAGTCTCTTGTAAAACCTTGGACGCCGATACCTGCATGAATGAATGCAAAATTTTATGTGTGAAATTATAAAGTTTCATAAGGTACGATCACATCTCAGAACCCCTCCATTCATCCCCGGATACCTGCACCGGGATAAATATATTTCAAGCCGACCCATTATCGACAAAGTAGACCGTTATGTTATATCTAAATATAATGAGATGATTATGTGGCTAGGGTCAAAGCATGTACTGTTGTAAGTCAATGAGGAGCTGAAACCTAAGAAATGTGTGTTCCTTGATGTCCGGGGTCAAGTTTTTCAAACTGTATTTTCGAGGACTAGTAACATTATTTTAACTGAAATATACTATTCCCATGTGGCGCATGCACCAGGAAAATTCATCACCGTATAAAAACAAATAAGATATTTATATTTGAATATGCCGACAATATTTACCTTATCGGAACGCCTATCGCGAATCTCCGGTAGGAGCTGGCGTAACTTTGAGACCAGTTCAATGATCTGATCATCGGAAATCCTCGAAACACCTGCACTCGACTGCCTCGACCTTCTGCTAGACATGTTCGGCAAAAAAAAACAAAAAAAATACCAACACCACCCTAATAATGACCCGAAACCAAGAAACTTTCTCGCGTATGGGGTTTAAAAACACACAAGATATGTAAATGCACAAGGAAAATGGTTGTGGTTTGGCAACAGAGGAAGAAGAAGGAGTAGAAATAAACTAGTGTTAGATGTAATATTTGAAGAATTGAAGAAAGCGATAAGAGAGATATAAAGGGGTAAAGAGGACCACATCCACGGGGGATGTGAGTGTGTGTGAGAGAGAGAGAGATTACAATAACAAAGACAGTGATGCTGGACGTGAAGAAGACATGTGCATCGGAGTAAGCATAGTTGGTCTTAAAAGGGGTTTGGGTTTTAAGTAAGAACTGAGTTGGTAGAGCACAAGGTTCTTAATCTTGAGGTGGATCGAGTCACACGGAGAGCATTTCATAATTCGGAGGTCTCTTACGGAAGTTGCTCTCAACCTGGTATTGGGGCAGCCTACTATCTTATCTCCTCTTACTCCATACATATGGGAAAAAGGGACACCCATTTAAGTATGTATTTGTATTGTGTCTATTTTTTATATTGATATAATATCATATTATTGTATCGTGTCTAAAATTATAAGATGGAATGAACTCATCTAGTGATGTCAGTGACTAAGGGGAATATTGTTCTTGCTAAATGTCTTAGGTTGTCTATAAGATGTGTGTGCATTGTCAAAAGTTAAGAAAAATTCTGAACAAATATTATTCTTATAATCACCCCGAACAATTAAAAAAATTATAGGACGGAGAGAAAAGAAAGGAGGGAAATAAGGGTTTGATGGTTATGTTCCCAAGTTGGGGTTAGATGGCAAGTGAGCTTTAAGAAATGTGTTTGTTTTTGAGCTGACATTGTGGGCCTTCATGTGCATGTCTTGATACGCAATACCATGTGATCATCATCTTCTCCAACTACATCCTTCTTTTAATGTATTCCACAACCCCCAAATAACCCTTTCACACTTCCATTTCCATTTTTCTCTTCCTTTTTTTTGTCTATTTAAATATACTAAACTTCCATCGATTGAATTTAATTTAATTGATATCGGGGTCGGTATATGTTAGGATATTTGAAGAAGCTCAAAGATCAATCGAATATTTACCAAGAGGATGTAACACTCTTAACCCGTATACGTCTTAATATACGAGTTAAAGATGTCACATCAACTTAAATACATTTACTGAACTGAAATTTGTCTAAAAATTTGTTTCATTTCAAAACACTCTTATTCTAAATTTAAAAATCTATTTTTAAAGTATATCTCAACTATAATTTATTTCTTTATTACAGGAAAATAAATTCATTTATTAATCAGTAATTTTACTAAACCATGTCTTTTCGTTAAATCTTAAAAAAAATAACATAACATATTCTTTTCATGCATAAATACTGATAACACTAAGCTAAGTAAAATAAACTAAAATAGTTCTAGTTTACTATTACAGATTATTAGAAATAAATACGATAAATAGAAATCACCGACATAATTATACATGCCATTATAAGTCAAAGGAAACATCATAGTTGTCTTACTGATACTGATGATATGTATGTCTTTCCAAAAGATGCTCCGATAGCTCCTTACTGATCGTACTTATCCTTACTAGAACCTACGCATGAAAAATCATCACGCGCTAAGTATAACTTAGTGAGGCAGTAATACTAAAGGTGAGAATAATTAAATAAAATATCAAAATATATAAAATCATTAAAATAAAACAGACTGGATTTCTTCAGAACATTCAAACCAGATATCTCATGTTGAACTTTATCATAAACTTGAAAAGAATCATCTGATAATTTTCACAAAATCATAATAAATCAGATCAGATAGAAAAATCAGTCCATATTCCCTTGTAGTCAAACACTTTTCAGAACTTTCTTATTTCATTTTTATAGCCCAAAGTATATTTTAAGAGAATATAAGATACATGAGTCAGACGAGTGTGTGCAATATAGATATCATATCATCAGTCGGAACAGATAAGCACACACAGTGCTATCACATCGAAAATAACAATATGCACACCAAGTGCATTCAGATCAGAATATATATATACTAGTGTACACTCCGGTACACCACAGTATATCAAAATCAGAACAGATAATCACTCCACCTCATGGCATGCCAATTGTACCTTTTGACTCTCAATATAACATACAATGGGCTTTTAGTTCATTTATTAACCATTTGATAAACATCATATCAGAGTCGAAAATATATTTCATTCACATTCTTAACATGTGACATGGACAGTCCATGTCCAAAAACTTTCATAAAACTTATTAAAGAAATTATGGATATAATTTCATAATCAAAACATAATTCATATCTTTGAAATAAACAAGATGAGGTTGACTTATCGCAAGTCGTTCTCGATCAAAATAATTAAATAAATAAATTGCACTCACCTTTGCCTCACTTAAGAACTTGTATACGATAATACTAGTCACAAGCTTTGTCCTTTCCTTTCAGATTGTTCGGATTGCTAGTTTTATTGTAATATGACAATACCAAATTATAACACAAAATGATTAAACTACATATTAGTATCGTTTTAACATAAGCTCATTTTTGACATTTGAGAATCTATAAAATAAAATCGATAACTAAATCGATATCAACCTAACTCATAACTCCATTATAACTTCAAATTTCTCAAAACACTTATTCAATTCCACAAATAATTATTCCCAACATGATCTTCAACTTTTACCAATTATAAAATCAAGCCACATATTTTAAATTCTTTCCAGAATTAAACTCAACTTTTCCTTTAATTTCATAATAGCTCTTCACTATCATGATCATTTCCCATTAAATATATAAAATTTCCAGCAACTAAAATAAAAGTTCAAATCAATACTTCAACCTTACAACTTGATAAACTTGAAATTCAATCCCAACTTAATACTTAAACTCCAAAAATCAACACACTTTCCAAAATTTCCAGAATTATTCTAACTCACCCAAATGGTACTTTTACATTTAAAAATTACTCTTCATCTTCTAATTCATTTCAACTTAAATTCTAAAGTTTCCATATTCAGACAACTTGCACTACCTTTAAAGAATCAATATTTTGTATTGATACACTCACTGAAATTTAATTCCGTTTCTTTCGTTGAGAACTAGACTCAAATACGAATCTATCCATATAAATAAATCCTTCAAATTCAATATGTACAATTTATGGTGAATTTTCAAAGTTGACTGACAGAATCTGTTTTATGCAGAATTTGCTGCCCATTTTTCTGACCTTTCCTCGGTTAAAAATTCATATCTTTTTTTATACACCTTGAAATTGACCCCCGTTTGTTTTAAACAAAACTAAATTGATATAAGAACATAATATATAAAAATAACCTGCAAATATTTTTTATAGAATATCTGGTGAATTTTTAAACTCACTGCCAAATTCAAAATCTAAACTATTTTCATTAATTTGCATCCTTAGGTTCTTCATCAATTCTTACAACACTTCTAATATCAAGAATCAATCTTTAATCATAAAAATCACACTTCCCCTTCATCCACATAAATCACCCACTACCACCATTCAAACATGAAACCAAAACTTAATTACATCATCTTATAGAGAAATTAGTGTAGGTGAATTTCTATTTCACGTTTTAATCCCAAAACTCACTAAATTTGGTCAAAAATGGAAGAAAATAAATTTGCTTACCTTGGCTATGGGTTTCAGCAACCTGCTGGAGGAGAGAAGAGAAGTTCACGAGCATTCTAAAAAAATATCCTACTTTAACTCTTAAAAAATCAATTATAACTATTTTTTTAATCATTTTAGGCCAAAAGACTAACTTACCATTAATGAATTCCCAAAATTACACCCATGCCAGTCCATGACATCATCCCTTACCTCATCATATCCATAAAAATATCTTAATTCTAATTTTTCATGTTTGTCCTTGCAATTTTTGAAAATTACAATTTACTCACCTAATTCCAAAATTTCAGCTTAACATGGAAAATTGACCTTAATTCTATTGATCCATGTTAAATTTCATTTTTCTAAAATATATAAATAATATTTCCAACCTTTATCTAGCATCCTTCACATTTTTGTCAAATTTTGATTCGATCTGATTATCCGATTTAATACCGAACTTTACTGTTTTATAGCCTTTAACACAAATCTCGTACCGAAAATATGATTCCCACGAAAATCCTTGTTTTAGACCAACTTATTCATTTCCGGGCTAAACTATATAAATTTTTTTCAAAATTGTACTTTAATCACAAAACTTTCAAAACTTACATTTTAGTCACTAGACAAATTTTGGAATATTACAGAGGAGTTGAAGTGGATTTGAGAAATTTTAAGGGATTAAGGAGATTTAAGAATGAGAAAATTTGATGCACAAAGATTTATAATAGTTCGACTTCTCAATCAAGTTTACATCCACTATTTTAGCTCATCACCAATGATTTTCTAACAAATTCACTAATTTATTCTTTCTTTTTACAGGACAAAGATATAACCATTACAAATCCCTATCTTTTTAATGGCTAAGATAGAACCACCCCACTTTTACAAAAAGCTAAAAAGATGTAAACAAGAAAACTCTTACAATGTAGGTGTTTACAAAGTTAAGCTCATAAAAACACTAATATTTACAAGAGAAAGGAAAATATGAATAAAAAACTCCTCTCTTGTGTTTGATTTCTTGGATACCTGTTCTAACCCTTCTTAAAGTGTCATCATCTTGTGTTTATAGGTTGGAATGCGTTTGTGGTCATTTCTAGTCGTTGGGGATGATTTGGAGCCGTTGGGGATAATTTTTCTACAAAATAAAACTGCCCAGGACAGGGAGTATCGATATTCCTTTAAAGAGTATCGGTACTTCCTTTATAATTTTTAAATAAACTTATCGTTACTAGCTGTTGGACCTGACCAATATTATGCTCATGATATCGATACTACTGTGTAAAGTAGTATCGGTACCCCTTTGAGTATCGGTACCTATTTTTGCATTCTGTAATTTGAGCAATTTGGAAAACACTGGTAGTATCGATACTACCTAGAGAGTATCGATACTTCTTTTACTTTGGTATTGGTACCACATGAACAATATCAGTATTGTTCATGCAGTATCAATATTGTAAGAACAATATCGGTACTATGTACCAAAAAATCAGTTTTGTGCTCAAATTCTATTTTAATGAACTTTGAATTATTTTTGAAAATTTTTGAAAACTCTGAACAAATTCAATTCAAGTCCAAAAATATTTTGCCTTAATTTGTTATCAAAATATTATAAAACATGGTTCAACAATCTTCCCTTTTAGATATAACAAAACAATTGAAAATTTGTTTTTGGCTAAACTCCCCCTTAATAAAACATTTAATAAAAAAATAAATATTTAGAAAATATTAAAGCTCACCCTTTTTCATTGAGAACTTGATTTTTTTAACCCATACTTCTCCCCCTTTTTTGTTATATAAAAATAATTCAACTTTAAATTTCAAAAATAACAATAAAGAGTAATTGGTAATTTAACATTAAAATCATTTGAAAAAAAAAAAGCTCCCCTTCAATAAAGCATTCCAAACAAGAATTTAACTTTAAAAGCATGCCACTTAAAAAATTGAATTTTAACAAAGATAAACAAACATGTTAGTAGCACATGAAATTCAATATATACAAGTCTAATATACTTTATGCAATACCAAATTTTGTATTTAAGTGCATGTCATAATGCTATCAAAAATGTTATGCATCTGAAAAATTGATATAAATTGTTAGGGATATCATTTACAATGTAATCACATGCATAAGTATTTAAATTTAAGGTCAAAAATTAAAATTTGTAAAAACGAAGCATTAAAAACCAATTTTGACCAAAATTCATTATGATGAACAAACATTGATGAAAAATCATTAAAACTTTAGAAAATGTTCATCACAATTCTTTTTAACATACATGAGATAGAAAACATAATATTATTTAAAATCAAAACTCATGCATGCTTAATCTAAATGATAAACCAATTATGCAAGATAATTAAAATAAGCTTAGAGGTTACCCATTCCTTTTCAAGTGTAGCTAGAGCATTTGAATATCTTCACTTTCATCACCATTGCTCTCACACACCTACAATAGATATTTAATTGGATTTTGGTATCCAAATTGTTGTGGATCCTTGAACGTTGGTTTCAATGTCTATAATTTCCTTTGGAACTCATACTTGTTTAATTTTAAAAAGTTTTCCTTTCTTTAAAGGACAAGTTTCCTTTCTTCCGTTCTGGGCACTCCACTCCTTCGTCTAATTCTTTGGAGAAGAATAGCCATTCTCGACCATGTCCCATGCATCAAGATCATTGGATTGGATTAATAGCTTCATTAATTTCTTCCAATGACGGTGGTTGGCTCCATTGAAGTTTGGAGGCTTGTCAATCGCTTGGGAGTCTTCCATGTAGAACGAGCCGAATGAGGAAGTCATCTTCTCGATTGTGTCGAAAATGGATAGAGCTTCTTCAAGGATCGTCTCAAGGTTGTTAAATCTTCTAATGAGTCAATCTCTGATATCAATTGTTAGGATATTCGATGAAGCTCGAAGATCAATCGAATATTTGGGGTTGAAGTGGATTTGAGAAATTTTTAAGGATTAAGGAGATTTTAGAATTGAGAAAATTTGATGCACAAATATTTGTAGTGGTTCGACTTCTCAACCAAGTCTACATCCACTACCTTAGCTCCTCACCAAGGATTTTCTAACAAATTCACTAATTTGTTCTTTCTTTTTACAGGACAAAGAGATAACATTTACAAATCCCTATCTTTTCAATGGTTAAGATAGAACCACTCCCCTTTTACAAAAGGTAAAAAGATGTAAACAAGAAAACTCTTACAAGGTAGGTGTTTACAAAGTTAAGCTAACAAAAACACTAATATTTACAAGAGAAGGAAAATAGGAATAAAAAGCTTCTCTGTATTGATTTCTTGGATAGGTGTTCTAACCCTTCTTCAAGTGTCCTTAACTTGTTTTTATAGGTTGGAATGTGTTTGTGGTCGTTTCTAGCCGTTGGGGGATAATTGTTTTACAAAATAAAATTGCTCAGGGCAGTGAGTATCTATACTCTTTTAATGAGTTTTGGTACTTCCTTTATAATTTTTAAATAAACTAGTCGTTACTAGCCATTGAGCCCGACCAGTATCGATACTATGCTCATGGTATCGATACCACTGTGTAAAGTAGTATCTGTACCCCTTTAAGTATCGATACCTATTTTGCATTATGGAATTTGAGCAATTTGGAAAACACTGGTAGTATCGATATTACCTAGAGAGTATTGATACTTCTCTTACCTTTGGTATCGGTACCATGTGAACAATATCGATATTGTTCATGTAGTATCGATATTGTAAGAACAGTATCAGTACTATATACCCAGAAAATCAGTTTTGTGCTCAAATTCTATTTTAATGGACTTTGAATTATTTTTGAAAACTTTGAACAAATTCAATTCAAGTTCAAAAACATTTTTCCTTAATTTGTTATATCAAAATATTATAAAATATGGTTCAACAATATATTATATTAGAGGACATAAAATCAAATATACTTAAACATTTAATACTTTGTATCTATAAATAGAAAATTTAGATAATATTAACATTGTATCAAAGAGAAAATTAATATACCAAACCTCTTTTGTTTTCTTCATCCCCCATTAATACTTATGCTCCGTGCATAGATTTAAATTGCGATATCAAATATAGTTTCGATCCTAATGTGATGCATTGGAATGTATATCCGTGGAAGAGAACTTAGTGATTGAAAATGTTAAATAGGCTAATTGAATTAGTTGAATAGAAAATCCAACAATTCTAATTTTAAGAATATATATATTATAAATTACGGGTTGATTTAATGGGATGAGATGACGAGGTTTAAACTCTGATATGACTATCTGAATAAGAATCAATTGATCATAATAGCTTTTGGGGTCAGACTTGACGGGTTTTCAAAAATTGTAAAAAACAAGAGTATTCGTCAATCATTTTTAAGGTAAAATTGGAATACCTAAAATAGAGTAATTTTAATAAAACTTTTGATTTTATTAAAATATCAAAGTTTTGGTATGAGAAATCATAAACTATGTTGAGGAGTCAGTTATGCGTGGGGAAAGATTTGTATGCCCACAACGTTCAGAATTGATACTTAGTCGTTAATCTTTTGTTTTTAAAATTAAAAATTGAAAATTAAGAATTTAAGAATTTATTTAATTTACTATCTATCGTAATGTAATTTGAAAAGGATATTGATTTATTTCGAAATAAACAATAATCATCCCAGCAAAGGCGAAGATTATACCGTTAAACTCTAATAAATAAATATTACCTCAATATTTTTTTAAAAAAATGCTACGCAAGCAATTGCAAACAATCAATTATTCGATTCTAAATTATAATTTTAAGGAATATAAGAATGTAACGATTTATATTGAAATAACAAATAATTTAGTAAAATAAATCTATTAAATTATATGGTGAATCGATCTCCAACAAACAGGGGGACATCACCTTCTCGAACAATTTATTTTAATAAATTCTATATATTTCAAAATAAATTATTAAATTCTTAGTTTTTTTCCTATTATTCTAACAATAAACTTAGAATTTTACTCCAATAACTGAGGAATAAAATTCCAACAAAGGCGGAAAATACTCCTCAAATTAATCTCCTAATTTACTAAATTATTTATTAAATGAGTTAATTAAGGTTTA